CACCAACCAATCCAAGAGGGAAATTCAAACCTAATTGAATAGGTCCCTACCGCGTATTTGAAATCTTATCAAGAGGAGCCGTAAGATTAATGGACATTAGAGGAGATGAAATTCGCCAATTAATAAACATTGATCGCCTTAAGAAATATTACATATGAAATCCGGATAAAACTCGTTCACTCATACAACCAATTTTAATTAGCATTCAATTGAAAGATTCTAAGTGTTATGCATTTTACCGAATAACACGGTAAAATACATAACACTTGGGGGGTAATTTAGAAATAATACACCGTTCTAAGTGTTCAATGTTTTTTGAATATCATGAAAAATCTTCACACTTGGGGGGGTAATAATACAGAATTTGAAAAATAATTTTTTCGAGACATTCGTAGCACAGGTGTTGCGCGCAACTAGAAGAGTTGCGCGCGGATGTCACGCGCAACTGATTTCGTTGCGCTCAACAGGCTCACGCAACTACAGACGTTGCGCGCGCCACGTGATGACGAACTGCGAACCCGAATTTTTGCGTTTGAATGAAGTTGCGATTTCTACTTGCGGCAAAAAGAGGGTGTTTCTTAAATATAACATATACTCGGAAAATAATATTAAACTTTGATTTAATTCTTTTAAACAAGGTTCGATTAATTTTTTTATTTAATTTCTATCTAAGAGATTAAGGAAAAAATAAAAAATACATAATAATAAAAAATAAATAAAGCATTAGAACTACGTAAAGACCTGATTTCGTAATGCGAATACGTAGGCAATCTTTATGATTCGGTCATATCAAAATATAAAAATATAAAGCTCATTTTATGTCATTCAAAATTCAAAAGAGAGACATTATTGAACTAGAGACTTTATTCGAATAAATAAACTAATTATAAAATTGTGTAACACTCTAAGGTTTTACTATGTCCTCGATTGTCACAGATGATGGAGGAGTAGTTCCATCGCAGCATTTTCTGAAACCTTTGAGCTTTCCCCTACACTCTTCTTCTTCACCCAAACATTGTTTTTCAACTTAGGGATTGGGGCCTTTGCAACCTGTTTTCCATTCCCTTTGACTATTAGAGCTTTCTTGCGAGTATTTGGTGAAGGTTCTTTGATTTTCACACCTTGTTGAGCGGGTTGGGAGGGAGGTTTCCTTTTTGTTTCCTTCGAACGAGCCTTAGGGGATGAGAAGTATAATTTTCTTCTCACTCCTTTGTTTTGGCCACTAGGAGGAGTAGTAGTGGTTGAATGCATCAAAGGCTTAGGTGGATTGCGAGCGGTGGCGGCTTGAAGTTGAGATCGAGCCTTGTTTAATTCACCCTTATCTGCCACATTCATCCAAGCCTTGTAAAAGGAAGATAATGTAATACTCGCGGGAGGATTTTGTATTACCCACTTAGCAAGACTTCACCAATATTCTATCCAACGAGCAATCCTTTCGGGTTTAAAGGTAACATCTTTAGGGGCATCACAATCTTGCGGGGGAATAAATTGCCTCATCCAGTATTGTATCATCACTCTACAAGAAAAAATATAAGTAGTACTAGATAGGCCTAAAAGCATAATGTCGGGGCAATTGAGACTATTCCCAATCATACTATTTATGTTCCACCAAGGAATCACAAAACGTATGTTAGGAACCCCATGGCAGAAAAACGACCCATTCCTCTTCGTTCTTATGCTTATAAAGGATTCGAAATCCAGGGAATGTCTTTACTCCATTAGCCTCAAGGTTTTGAGGCTGATCAACAATTCGCAAACGCTCCATGAGCCAAATCTGAAAAAAACACGTACGTGTAATAGGAGTAGACTTCATGTGAAACCGTTTTCGTTAGGATCTCCTCTAAGGTGATTCAATAACAGAACGGTTTCCGCCAAAACCAAAGGAGCGGGTGAATGACATCCCTCTATTTGCTCTACTATGGACACCATCGAATAATCTCTGTATTCTTTGCCTGTCCTAAGTAAACAATTAACAACAAGACAATAACATAAAGCACGAATTTTAAAGCGTTGTTTAGTCATATTGTCACGAGGGGCGACGAAGTGTTCAATAAATTGAATTAAGTTCACGCCTTATTCAGTTCATATGTTGGTCATATCATTGTCGGACAAGCTTTTGGAATATAGGTTTGGGATCCGACAAGGTGGGTGAATATGTCACAGGGAGAGTGTTTGTAGGGAAACCTAGCAAGGCCTCGAACTCACCGGGAAAGGGGACAATTTCGTTCCCTCTAAATAAGAAAAGATGGTGGTTAGAATCCCAATGGTTGACTGCGGCATGAAGAAAATCAAAGTTAACCACTAGTTGAATATAATTCAATAAAGGATCTAAGTGGTAAATTTTGAAAGCTAGTTTGGCCTCGGTTGAAAGGGAAGTGACCCATTGCTTCAAACTTTTTCAAAGGTCTTCACCATCGTTAAAAAAAAAAGAGAGAGAATAAGAATTTAGAAAGATTAATTCTTTTTAGTTTCTTATATTACTAGGCGAATGAATGCGAGATGATTAAAAGCCTACACGAAACCAAATTTAAATAGACCTAAGAGGGGCAAATTTTCGGCAAATTCGGCTTAAAGGAAAGTTCACTAACAGGTGGCGCGCACAACTCATAAGCGCGCGCGACGTCCGCGCGCAACTGATTTACATGCGCGCGACAGCCGCACGCAACTCACGCAGTTGTGCGCGTGTCCCCTAACGCGGCATGTAAGTTGGGTTTATTTCTGTATTTTGGCTCATATATTGACGGAATCTTAACGAGATCATAAGATGAATCATACGCTTGCCTTCTAACACTTTGTGTTCCTTTTCTTGCCTACTTTCTTATTTTTTATTTTCTTTTTATTTTTTCCTTATTATTTTCCTACTTTCTTACTTCTTTATTTTCTTTTCTATTTTCCCTTCTTTTCGACTTCTTTTTCGAGTTTGTTTATTTCTTCAAGAGGGTAAATCGGGAACCCTTTCCCTCCCTCGAAATTTTTTTCGCATTAATGATAATGTACACATGGAAACAAAATAATGATAATAATAATAATAATAATAATAATAATAATAATAATAATAATAATAATAATAATAATGACATATACAAATGTGTCGTATATACAAAAAATGAAAAAAATATATATACATAGGTTTCCTAAAAAAATATAATAAAGGTGTACAAGAGGAATCAGGGTGCTCGGCAACTACTAGACGGTTGCTGCACATCCTGCAAAATCCAAAACGAACATTAATACATAAAATATAAAAACTTCGTTGCAATGAAAAAAAATAATAATAATAAAACTTACCGCGATCATCCGATGACCATGGCATGATAAAGTCAAGAGGGCTCTCCGATAAGCAGCTCGGAAAGCACGTAAAGTCCTCTCCATGCCGTTCACAGTCTCCCACGGAACCTATTCCAAGAATACAAGGACAGTTAGTAAACAAATGTATATGAAACAAAAAATAAATAGAATTATTTAAGTACATATACATAAAAGACATAACGACTCAACCGTCTCAGGTACAAACGGTATCCCCTCGTCATCCTCGGCTGCTGGAAGGGTCTCACGAATTACCGATCTGACAGCATCGGTATACGTGATCTCCGCTGTATGAGGCACCCAAGCACCTAGCTCGACCCGCTAAAATACATGTGACAAAAAAAGATAAAAGGGGTCAAAGTTCCGAAAAATAATTAGAAACACGGAAAAAAGAGAGTTAGAGTACTAACCGGAACAAAAGCCGGAAAAGGAGTGAGCCTGGATGCTATAAAAGCCGGATAAGAAGCCTCCAACAGCACCAGCTGCTCTGCTGGATAACCAAGGATCGCCTGAGCTCGATCCTCGGTAGACAGCAGATCCGGACGCAGCACCCGGTCGGGGGATCCGCAGGAACCAAAGGCTCCTCGACGAAAGCTGTTAGAGAACACACTCGCCTAAAAACCAAGCGTCGGTCCTCTGGAACACCGAGAGTCCCTTATAGAGGGCCCGAAAATGGCAACAAACCATGCCAGACCGGATAGCCTCAAGGACTCCAACGATCAAACTCCAAGGACGGAGATCGGTATATAAAACACAACCACTTGAAAAATCGTTAGAAAATGAATAAAATCAAAAAACTAAAAGAACACGTGTATTTAGAATACTCACCAAAGCACAAGTTGCCGAAAGGATCCTCTGGCAAAAGTCGCCGGCAGAAGTAGCTCATCTCCTCTTAATAGCGACTAATCGATGGTCGATAGGAAAACAAGCAGCCCCATGCACCCTGGGGGCTAAGAAAGGTAGGTACGAGTATCCCCAAGCCTGAAACCGAGAAAAGATAAGCCTAAAGGAAAAGGCAAAAGTAATAATCGAAAAAAGCTTAACACACGTGCCTCAAGGATACGACCATGCCACGTAAGCGAGATCCGAGGCACCTCAGTAGCTGCCGCGGAATCCATGACCCGGGTCGCCTTGCCCATAGCCGTAAGCATACGGGCATACGACACCTTCGCCCAACTCAGGTCACCTACTTGCCCGAAATCGCTGAGGCAAATAAGTAACCCAATGGCGAAACGCTCTCACTAGTGGAAAAAAGGCCATCCTTAACGGGCAAAAAGGGCCCATCCGTAACGGGCAGCGTCTGTTACGAATGGCTATTATTATTCGTAACGGGCACCGTCTGTTACGAATAACTACTTATTGTAACGGGCACTTACAATGTCTGTTACAAAGAAGTAGTTTTATTTGTAACGGGCATTTCAAGTGCCTGTTATGAATAACGGGTTATTTGTAACGGGCATTTATTTTCCAGTTACAAAAAACCCGTTATTCGTAACGGGTATTATATCTGCCCGTTACGAATAGTTTTTGATGCAATTAAAAAAAAATCCAACACGTGCTAGCACATGCGATCATTTTACCAAATAATGAGATAATTTTTTTTTTACACAAGTATAATACACAGATAATTTTTTTGACACAAGTATAATACACAAATAATTTTTTTATTACACAAGTATAATACACATTGAATATACTATAAGAAAAAATATATTCATTATCACTTCAAAATATATCAACTTGCTCATATAATGTCCCAAGTTTACATCTTAAGACTAAGAATTAAAAGAGCAAAAACAAATCATAATTGTAATAAAACAAGTTTTATCCCAACATTTGTGGTCCGATACGTTGAGTCTTAAGCTCCCTTGTGTAGATATTATATGCTCCACCTTCAATAATTTCAACAAACCAAAATTAACATAATTGAAAAAACAAAAAAATATCAAAATTAAAAAATTAATTGAATCAGCCCCCGTAAGGGAAAAAAAAAATTGAACATGAATATATATACCAAAATACTTCTGAGATACAACATTATAATTAATCAACTATAATTCCCCTTTAAATCGGTCAATGAAATGCGATTGTGATATGCATTCTTTATAGGAATCCCATTAAAATTTTGCAGTAGAATCCATAGCATTGAATTAAGGGGTGCTGCTTAATTTTAATTGTAAATCGAAATAGAGAAATAGTAATTAGTAAAGAAACTAATTGCTGGTTTGCCAACAAACACGAGGATTAAGAAACTGCCCATTTGAAAACCCAAGAAAGAAAAATTGATAACTACTAAAAACCCAAAAACACAGAGAAATAGTACCTGAAACAGTTTGAACTCTAATTTCAGGCAAAGCACGCAGCTTTGAAGAACGATTGAAAGTGAGATTGAGATGAAATGGCTAAAAGTGAGCAAATTTAATTCCAAGGTTGGAGTTCTTGGATGAGAAAGAATGATTCAAGGGTCCTCCACCAACCTCGATTATATCAGATTTCGATGTCAAATTTACAACCATTTTTTGTCTATTGAGAGCAATCCCTTTTTATCATAATACAATCATAACACAAATATGCATAATTCCTCAAAATTCAAAAGAACAACTATAGATCTACAAATTATGAACGAGAAAATCAACACAAAATGAAAGAACACCACCGCCATACACTTACCATCACCACCGCCGTACACTTACCCAGATTTACACCACGAACCCAGATTTACACCCACAAAGCTATCTGACAACCACAAACACAACTGTTCTGACCCGTGACACCCACCCTAAAAATCAAGAAAGTCAGATCTGTCCATGAACACCACCCCCACAAACCCACAAAACCCATGAAATCCCCCAAAAAACTAATTTGAGAGTAAAGCAACGAAAATTGAGGAATTTAAGTAGAAAAATGAGAAACTTTTACCTTGGTATTGTATGTGGAAGGAGAAACAATGGTCTAATTACCTTGGTTTACCATCGAGATGAGAGAAGTGTGTGTGTGGAAGTGACGATAGAGGAGAGAGGATAAAGAGGGGTGAGGCCAATAAGTAAGGTTGATGGCTGGAGAGAAACCCTAATAGTAATAACTAATGGGCTATGGGCTTATTTGGACTAATTTATTTGTAACGGGCACAATGTGTGTTACGAATAATAATATAGTATTCGTAACGGGCAAAATAGTGTTCGTTACGAATACTTATTTATTCGTAACGGGCACTAATTTGTCCGTTACAAATACATACGTATTCTTAACGGACACTATTTTTCCCGTTACAAATAAATAAGTATTTGTAACGGACACTATTTTGCCCGTTACGAATATCGTAATTGTAACGGGAAGAACTTTGCCCGTTACAAATAGCCTGTTACGAATGAGATTTTTTCCACTAGTGTCTCCTCGATCACTCAAGATGGTGACGGAAAGAACGTGGGAAATGTATATTCGAGCCAGCTGCTCACGTGTACAATGCCGGTCTAGCTCGTCAGCCAACAACTCTTCGGCAAAAACCGAGTACGGACAAGATTGCGCGTACACGTGAAGGGCCGACGCACAACGGTCCCCCACAAGGCCGTGTAATCTCTCGTCTGACCCCTTAACGAAGTCTATAACTACAAGCTTGCCTCCGAAAGGAAAACCCGTAATCATAGAGAAATCGAAAGGGGTAACCGTCATCTCTCCCCATGGAAAGTGGAAAGTGTTGGTGGAATCCCACCAAAACTCCAGCAATCCACGGAGAAAAGCAGACGATGCAGACTGGCTCGATAAATCCCGAAGAGTAGCCAGCTGGAAGTCAATGCCAGAAAATGCTACAATCTCCTTTGCCACCTAGCAAGCTCTTGAAACAGGCTCGCAGGTCACCAGAGCCGTACAAACGCAAGCTAGGCTCACTCTAAAAAATGGTTATAGTTTAAAAAGGAGAAGAAACAATAGAAAAGAGAAAGAAACGAAAGCGCGGAAAACTAACGATGCTGCGCCACCCTCTGATCGAAACGTGGTGGTCTGGGTCCCACTTAAGGACCCTAGGGTCCCAGTTGGGAGGAGCCTCCCAAACCACCTCCTCCTGGCGACGTCGATCGGCCACAACGCATCGCTCTCGAACCTCCTCTCGAGGACGGGTCACCCTCTTCCGAGGGCGAACCGCCTCGTCCTGACCAACGAGAACCTCCTCAGCATCGACAAATGGAGGCGAGTCCATGCTATGACGGATAAAATTTCCTTAATTAGTTCCTAACTAAAATACTATACGTATTCTAGACCCATTTCGGCAGCATAACGGCTACCGATAGGGAAAAACACGAAAATCGAATGTCACCCATACTTGGGGGCTATGACACATGCGGTTAAACTCAGTAAATGGGGGCTTTTAACACCCACAAAAGCCATCCTATACCAGTTTCAACTAAGCGTTCAAAGGGATTATATTCCAAAATCTCAAAGAAACAACTAAGGGTCTGTTCACATTTACTTAATTTCAGTTCAGTTCAGTTCAGCTCTAATCAGTTCAGTTCAGCTCTAATCAGTTTAGTTCAGTTCAGTTCAGTTCAGTTCAACTCTTAATTTCCCTCTTTCATAAAATGTTCATTTCAGCTTAGTTCAGTTCATTTCAGTTTAGTTCAACTCAGCTCCAATAAGTTCAGTTCAGTTCAGTTCAGCTCCAATCAGTTCAGTTCAGCTCAGTTCAGTATATTTGAACAGGCCCTAATTCTAGACGACTAACAGTAATATAAACATAATTATCGTTTACCAAACAATTTTGGAGTTCGAATATGGCAAAAATAGGCTAAGTATACACTTCGCGCTATTTTTTTTTCGGATTCAAAATTTTCAAAATATTAATTATGGAAGCAAAGGTAGTTCCAATACTAAAATTGTTTCATAATTAACAAGTATAACCAAAATAGGCAAACAAAATAACAGAAAATCAAGCAAAATTTGAGTAGGATTAAAAGAACGAACTTGAACAAAGAAATGCTCATACAAGGTTCAATACTTAACCATTTTTCATGAAATTTTTTTCAAAACACTCCTTAAACATAGCATAACAACATAGAGCAAACAATTTCAAGAAAAATAAGCCGAATCGAAAACCCCCAAATTCTTTGGGGTTTAACGATTCGAAAATTGTTCGAATTCAGCCGAAAAAGAGCAAATTTTAGTAAAAAAATTACATTGGATTACGGCAAATATGAATTGAGGACTAAATTTTCTTCCTTTAGTTTCAAAAATCATGAAAAACTAAGCTTCCTAGAGAGATTAAGAGTCGAAAATGGCGAAGGAAGGAGAAAGGGCGAAGTGAAAAATCGCGTCTGCGATTTTCACTTTACTAACATAAATGTCGCGCACAATTAAAGAAGTTGCGCGTGACATACCAACGCAACTCAGAAAGATGAGCGCGCCTGGCCAGCGCGACCATTTGAGATGCGCGCGGATTCTGGTCACTAAAAGACTGGGATTTTGATTTTGATCTGTTTGATCATTTTTTGAACGGTTTTTGCTCGTTATTAGACGTAATGGCGCGCAAATTATCGAAATCTTTTTAATTGCTTTGCATATTGTAGTTTGTTTTCTTTTTTGTTAGTTTTTTGCATCATATTGCATGCACATTGTGCTTTGTGCCTTCCCTAAGCATATGTTTTGAACGTTTTTCGTAAGAGTGCCTTAAGACGTTCCGTGGTGGTGCTTTACGTAAAAGCACCCATAGACAGGTTTGTCATTTTACTATACTGACGTTATAAATGTCCGGGTTTTCTTCTTTTTTCACGTCCGAAGCAAAAAGGAAGGCGTTTTCATGTAGCGTAAAAATGCAAATGATGTATCGTACGGCGTAGGTGTTGCGTAAATGTCGCGCCTATCTAGTCACGTGCCCCTAGTCCTGAGACACGTGTACTCATCTTGTGGACAAAACTGTGAGGGAGTTGCTGACTTTCTCCCCTCTCACTGAATTTGGATATATGCCTCCAGTCCTGAGACATGTATTTCTATCTTGTGGACTTTCGGCTCGAATACCAAACCCGACTCGAATACCAGACCATTTCGGCTCTAATACCGAAAACCCTTTTTCATCTTTTACTTTGTTAAAGTTAGGCTAAAGTTTCAATGTCATATCGAGGGACTTTTGTAATACCCCGTATTTTTATGTATTTTTATAAAGTATTTAAGTATTAATAAAATGTATTTTCAAGGGCTCAAGTATTTTAATTAAATATTTTAAAGGGTTAAAATATTTTAAATATAAAGTTTTATAAAAGTAAAATATGTTTTGGGCCAAACATTTATTTATTATTGGGCAATGTAAATTATTCCTACATACTCTTATTGGAATAACCCATTTCAAAACCTATAACTTAAGCCCTATCCCATAACTCAAGCCCACATTTTTATAAGCCCAAATTTAACCCTACACTCTCTACTCTATAAATACCCCATGAATCCCCAAAAATTTCCCACACAAAAAGGTTAGTCTTATTTTCTCTCTCCTTTGTTTTATTAATTTGTGTAATTATAATTATTGATTTATGGGTTTTGATTTTATTGTTTGAAATTAATTTAATTAGTATCAAATTGTATTTTGATGATTGAACTTTATAATTTTCAGATTTTGTAAATTTTATAACCTAGGGTTTTTAATTATTGAAAATCATGATTTTAGGGTTTTTATGAATAATTGATTTAGGGCTTTTATAGTAATGATGTTTCGAAATTTTGGTGATTATAACTACTTATTAGTTTAACTTAATTCCAGATTTATTTTGTACACGCAAATTCATTTTTTAATAATTAGATTTCCGTTCATTAATATTAATCTCGTTTTAATCCCGATCAGGTTCTAACCCTCTTCGATTTTGATAAAAAAATAGTGTTTTTCGAGTGAAAACAACGTTTTAAGAAAGGGGTAAGAGATTTTTAACGAACTTTTTTTTATGCTTTAAATTATCTCTCGTGGCCAAATTCAGCCTCTAAATACGATTTTCGAGCAGTTTTTGATTTTTAATGAACTTTTTTTTATGCTTTAATTTTTATCTTTGAGTTTAAAAGGGGTAAGAGATAATTTAATGTTTCTATGGATAATTTAAGTATAAAGATGTATTTTGATGAAGTTTTAAAGGACTTTTGATTAGTTTACAATGTTGGAATTTTATTTAAAGTAGTATAATTGTGATTTTTAATAAAAGGGTGTGATTATCTATTAAAAATGAGTTTAATTAGGGGTTTTTAAATAATTTTTAGATTATTATAAGTTATTTAAAGTGAGTTTAAGTTGCTGGAAATTGTGTATACAAGGGTAATTAATATAGTATTATAATCCCTTTATGTAGGAGACTTGGTTCGGGAATTGTTGTAGTGTAATCGGCTACTTTAAGGGCTTATTTGAGGTACGTACGCGTACTTAGCATATTTTGATGATGTAGAGTCATGCTAGGTTTGATTTCAATTAATTACAAGTAGTATCATGCTAAGGTTTATGTATTGAATTGTGAATTTATGATATTTGTGATTGAATTGGGAAGCATGAATTATTTGTGGTGGTTATAGATTGGAAAATTATATTTTGGGCATGTTGTGTTTGTACCACACTTTTATTTATGGCATGTTAGAAGGCATGATTAGTTAAACTACATGTTTAATTATGTTTGGAATATTGAAAAGGAATTTTTTTATGGTTCAAATAATTTTTATTGATGCTTTAAGCATGAGGAAAGAGCTATATAAGTGTCTATGTACACGAGGAATAAATTGTATGTTGGTGCCTTTGTGCACTTAAGGTGTTTTTAACACCGAGGGATAGGATTTTTTGGCGCATTATGCGTTTAAGGTGTCTTTGACACAGAGGTAGAATTAAAAAGGGTTCAACATTAAATAATATGGGGTCACTAATCATTCAAGAATTAAATTGGTATGTTTGTTTGATTGTATAATTATTGTTGTTTGACTTATTATGCTTTGAGAGTCATTACCAAGTCTAATAATCTGTAAAAAACGTAAAGTGAAAGAGATTACACACCAAAACTCTTGGAACGTATATATCTTGAGTATGAACAATGGGGGGAGTTATGGGGTTTTATATTTAACCATAACTTCCAATGGAGT